ACATTTCTCACAGGCCATCCTTTTGAAGACCATTATGTCAGTGCTTCCTAGTGACACATAGAGACCAGTGACCTGCACAGTCATCTGCGAGTGCACAAAGACATAGGTTTCCAGCAGAACTGTGGAAACAGAAGTGCTACTTGAAAGAAAGATTTCCTAGTAGAGGGAAATACTCTACATTAGCAAAAATCATTTACAAACATAATAGAAATACTGAGAAGTACCTCAGGATAACAATATGGATATATTTAAGTTTGTTTTCCAATTCGGGGGGGAGGGGGAAGCAAAATCCTGCAGAATTTGGGGTTAGTGACTGCTAAAAGACACTGTTTGTTTCTTTGTTTGAACATACACTATATCCCTATATGAGATATTCAGAGCATACCAACAGCAGGTCACAACACAAGAGGAGACTTCATTCCTACAGATCCCACAAAACAGTTTCCAGCAGTGTCACACACTCATGCCTCCCTCTCCTAAATAGATCGAGCAGGAATCTGTCAACATGGAGTTAAGAGCTCAACTTTAGATTTCCCATTTGCCTGCTGAAAGTAAAGAGTTAACAGAAACCTGCATTTATTTGGGATCTTTTATGTGCACACAAACACATCAATCCAAGCAAAATGCTACTACCACATTTTAGAAATGTGAATACTGCTGAGTTGAAGAAAATGGGCACAGTTCCCTTTTTAGAAGGAACAAATTGTTCAGAACAAGGATAAATGCAATAGAGAAATCAGGCACCAACTCTGTTTCTGCAGTTTCAAGCTTCTGGTACATGGATACAGTTTTTACACAATTTTTTTTTTTTTAATAGAGTCAACGTTGTTCAAGGATCCCCCCACAACTATCTAATGTTCTCAAGAGCAAATATCTACTGTGAGGATTTTTATATTTTCAAATATGTGAGAAATTAGAGAGTGCTACAGTCTTCTATCTTCTGGTGGCTACAGACAGGAGAACACCTCTTGCTCAAAAGGCGGGAGTAATTGCAATGCTGCAGACACTCGCTGCACTTGACTGTATTTTAGATTGAAAACATGGAATTAGCTGCAAACTATGTTAAAACATTTCCTTTAGAGTGAAAGCACTTTCTGTAATTATGCCACAGAAAGCGGGATTACAGAGAAGAGCAGAGCCCAAACCTATCATCACACAGGCTGAACTTACCTCTACATCTGCAGTCAACCACATGCAGAACCTGATCCTGAAACCAGCCATTTCAAGGTCCTCAGCAGCCAAGAGACATATAGAAATCCAAAATATGCCCTTACCCTTTTGTGAGAGCTAGAGATTTCTTCAATCTTTGCTGGGGTTTAATTAAACTCATTACTGCAGGTTTATCTGAGTTAATACCTTTTCTCCACAGGACACACTGCACCATGAACTTTGAGGGAGATGCAAGAATAAAAAGGCTAACGTTACTTCTCTTAATCTTCTTCCCCATATGAAAAAATGAACTGACAGCCCCACAGCAATTTCAGGCTACCTGATTCTCACATCTAAAGATTACTTGTCTCAGGATGGAATAATCTGATGTCTCCAGAGGACGAGCAGGGAGACCAAATAAGCCAGAAAAGCTTTTTCAAGCCTACATTTACTTTTCAGGTAGTTGTGTAAATAGCTATAAAGAAAGAACAATTAAAAAAATGATTCTTTTTTCAAGTGGCAGTTGTCCCCTCTCTCAGTTAATCAAGTTCAGTAGCCATTATAATAAAGCTTGAATCTCCAGTGTTGGAGAAGATAGAACTTCTTCCACCATCAGAAAGCAACAGGACCACAGAGCATGAACACCCTTTACGGGATTTCTTGAGGTCAATAATTCAGGTTATACGAGGTTGTGTTACCATGTTTTTAATTAAGGGTGTTATTTTAGGTAAATATTCCCATGCTGCAACCACGACTGTCATGAAAACACCACGTTAGCCCCTGGAAGCTTAAGAGATGGCACCATGAAGAACTTCTCACTAATTAGACATGAATCTGGCTTCCTTTAGAACCTTGTTAGATAAAAAGCCTTGACTGATCTATCCTCCGTTTCTCTGAGTTCAGGCAATGAAATTTAAATCACAGAGAAGTGCTAATGATAATTTTTCAAGTCAGTTTTTCATTACTGAAAGTACTCTTTGCAACATAGCAAACTCCAAATCTCTTTTCTAATCCTGGCAATCCCTTTCAGTTGTTCTTTGATTGGCCGTAAATCTGAACGCATATCTCAACTCATGATCTACATTCTGAACGTGGATCTGGGATTTTTCTGGAGGATAGATTTTTCTAGATCTCCCGTCACTTTTGTATTTATGGATGAATGGGTATTTATAGCAAAAGAATGACCACTGAAAAGACAGGAGGGTTCGACAAGTTCCTGTGCCTTAAGTTTCATCTGTCCCAGGGAAGAGCGAGCATAGGTGGGGTGATCTACTAACCAGATACACATTATTCTACTCAGCATCTTTAATAACCTGTTTCCTATTGGCATCCTATCTTCTTCAGCTAAGTCTCCCTTTATACTCATTTCTCAGATTCATTTGTAGTCCGGGGCTATTCAAGCTCTTAAAGGTTACTGCTGAACATCACTAGACAGAAGAAGAGCAGAGGAGGAAGGGGAGGTGCGGTGGTTGCACTGGAGCAAGGAGAGGCTTAGGCAGATGGGAAACAAGAAGGGAGAAAGTGGGTGGGAATAAGGACATCAGCAGTTCCCCTTGAGCTGGTGCTATCTCAGTTGCAACATCCCACCGAGTAGTGAAACATTCCATACAACCCCATACATCTTTGTCAGGGCTGGAAGATATGCCCTGTGAGGAGCAGCTCAGGTTTTGGATTTGTCTGGTTAGAAGAAAAGGGGTGAACTCATTGCTCCTTGCAGCTTCCTGAGGAGTGGAAGTGGAGAGGGAGGTGCTGATCTCTTTATCCTGGGATTCAGTGATAGGACATGTGGGAATGGTTCAAAGCTGCACCAAAGGAGACTCAGACTGAACAGAAGGAAGCATTTCTTTACCAAGAGAGTGGTAAAACACTGCAGCAGACTTCTTAGAGAGGCAGGTAATAGCCCAAGCCTGTAAATACTCAAGACATAACTGGACAAGATCTTTTTAGGTTCCTTTCAACTAAAAATATCCTAACTACTTGATTACTCTGGAGAGGGATCCCATCCTTCCACAGCCAGGTAAGGGGGTGATCCCCCCTGCCAAAGCAATGAAAGCTCCTATTTTTGGATGTGAGGGGTTCTGTCCAAAATACTCCAGAAAGCACATGCAAATGATTGCTACTGTGGGATGCGAGACTCTCATACACAGATTAATTTTCTGCACTGTTTCCAACAAATTGGCATCAAGGCTCAGCACCAGCCTACAGGATGGTAGTTCCTTGACAATTCTCTTTTGCAAACAACAGCCTGGATTTATATGAAGAAATACTCCCACTTTGAATGCACACACGCTGTCCTTTGAGTAACTGGTTTTTTGCTTAATCAAAAAAAGCAGATTTTCAGTACCTTCATTGCAGAGGAGAAGCAGAACAGTGCAGCAGTGGGTTGGGCTGCCAGGGCCCTGCATGAAGTCCCTCCCTCCATGGACAGCATCTTTAGCAGGACAGAGTAACCCAAGCATTGTTTGACTTCTGTACACTTTGGCATCTCTAACACCTTTTTTGTTTTTTCCCCTTTAAATTCAGCCTGCAGGATACACGCTTTTGAGAAACCGTGTGCAAGCTCATCTTTTTTCATGCCAGTATAGCTTTTCCTCCACTTCCTCTTCTCTCTTTGCTTTTCTCATTACTCTTTTCAAGGTCTAAAGGAAAACACTATTCAGATACTTAAAGGTTACAGTTAGCTTGTAGTTCAGCAGAACCTAAAAGAAAGCATTTCTGCTAAAAGGAAAGAATATAAACAAGATATCCTGTGATGTTTAAAAGGACAGAAGCAGATTTCCGTTAGACTTTACTGAAGATTTTCTCCTCTGTTTGTACAAGTATTCTCTAATTATCTCAGGAAACTAATAGCTAGGTTAGTTTAAATAGGTTTAAATTTTGCCTTAAGTATATTAGGGAAGAGTGTACACCTCTGCAGTGTAGCAAGAGGCAGTTAGTTACTCCAGGCGAGGCGAGATGACAAATAGCAATTGAGTCTCAAGCTGTTCACAACCTAAATATCTATCCTCAGCTCAAAGCAACAAAGCTCCCTAATTATTTTTATCTATGCAAGGTGAAATCAAATGACATTATAACACAAATCTCACTAATACCTTATGCAGGGACAATGTTTAATAGCACAGATTAGTTATGAAACTACTGTAATAGCAACAGACTTCAATGTGGTCTTGACTCTGTTTAAATCCTGACAATGACTTTAAGGGACAAGTTTATCCTTGTTCTGCCCTAATTATTTCAACATATTAGCACCTGAGGAATATTTGACTCACTTCACCCTGCCCCCCCCCTTTAAATTCACAGTTTATGCACAGACCAACCAGAATTACATGACAAACATGACAGATCACTTCTTTCCTACTCTAAGAGAGCCATTAAAACTAAAATGAGAATTTAGTTAGTTATTGACAGAATCACTCTGGAGGGGAGAGGGAAGCTAAATGGCTTGCTGCAAAATGAAATTGCGGAAACTAGAGAGTCAATCAAAACACTGCCTTAGGTCATCTCATCTGTCCTCCAGCCAAAGCAGGGCTGTTACTGAGCATCTCTGCCCCAAGATCTCTCCAACTGAGCTGATGTTTTTGGTGTCAGAAACCTATTCATAATACAGGTGATGATTTTACTGTCTCCTAAATCTTCTGTTACAAAGTTTGACAAACATCCATACAAGCATCAATATCTAAACAGCTTTGTCACTGCAAGGTATGCCCATCCTGTGCTACTTTCCACACTCCTGTCATGCCAGCCACATAGTTGCAATGAATCTCTTGAATTTTCACACTGCCTGGGTGGTTATTTGACAATATGCATGAACTAGCTCCTAGCACATTCCCCACTCCTCTTTCTGTACTCACCAAGAACAAGGCTTGCACTCAAACTGCTGATCCTGTCCTAAAAAAAAGATAATATGCTTTAAAATTAGAAAAGGAATTGATCTAGTTCCCAGGTACTATAATCTCTTTGTTGACTACATTTTATGTAACCATAAGAAAATGCCAACAAATCTATCACTCCCACAAAAAATCAGCTGAAGATACACCCATCTGGGACACACCACAAAACTTAGAGCAAGCACCTCAATTTGCCAGTTGATGGATGCCAGCTTGGCCATCCCACTGAGGACAAAACAAGAGCAGCTCCAGAGCTGAAACCAAGAGCTTTCTACAGCTTCAACCAGAGAGCCACAACACTGCAGCTCAAGCAGTGAGCAATACCTACCACCTGTAGCTGGGGCTTGGAAGACAGGAAGCACACAGCATAGATATGCCAACAGAGGAAAGCTCTGTCACAGTAAAGTGACAAACAGAGGTCGTTTGCTTGCAGACACCCTTCTCCCACTGCCCCATTCTCACCTTCCCTCCCCATGCCTGTTTGGGACTGTTCAGTTCCTCGCCGAAGAGCCACCTTCAGCCATCCACCTCTTGCTTCAGGAACTTCAGCTGCCTTGCCAGATCCCAACTCCAGGCTACAGAAATCACTGTCCTCTCATAGCTCACCTCTGGAGCAAAGAAGAAAATTAAGCTTAAAAGTCAGCAAGTCTGGCCCAGCTCTGGCTCTTCCCAGTTCCCCTCATCTCATCAGTCTTTGGGTCCCTCTGTACATGAGGTTGGGTGACACCCAACATCCCAGGGCAGCTTAAATCTCTTTCTGCAACAGTTTTGGGCAATTTAATGCAGTGCATGGCAAATATGTGATGCCGATAAAACCAATTTGCAAAGATGCAACTTCTGGCTTTACTAAGAAGTCAGCCATTGGCATCATACTCAGTTTCATTAAGAACAGGACTAAAATATAAGAAAAATCTACAGAGTATGACCATGAGACCACCTTGCCCTGAATCTCCCTTCAGAAACTGGACACTAGTAAAAGACTGGAGGAAATATTTAGTGCTGTCTTTCTGGGATATTTTCTTCAATTTCAGTAACTGGCATCTTGAGGATTTCTTGAATCACAGTAAACACGTTCATTGCATTTAGGTCTTTGCAGGACAAGAAAAGGGCCCCTTAGCTCATCTCTACTTTTTCACAGCAATCATTTATCTACGGAGTGATTTTCAGCTTTTGGTCTCTTTTTATGTGCTATATTTCAGTTGCTGCAAGGCGAAGTTTCACCTGAATAATAGTGTAGATTTCTGAGGTACATTTTTAATCCACCTCATGTTATAGTATAATAGAACTTTAAAATGCCAGCACGCATTGTCACAAATCTTTCTAAATCCAACAAATGTAATAATTTTTGAAAAAAAAAACCACCCCAAATGAGCATAAATAGCAATACATATTTGTAAAGATACATACATATAGAAAGATGAAAACAGAATATAAGACTGTATTACTTAAATACAAAATTCCTGGCCATGGGTTCCTTGCTTGTTCTCATCAATTTCTGTATCAGTATTTCCCAGAACAATTCCCAGTCTACACTTTTAAATTATTGCTTCATATCCAGTGCCTTCTATCCCAGGCTAACAAAATCACTGCTATAAAACTGCTCCTTTTACAGCCAAGATGGGGAACCCTCTATTAGATTATCCGTTCCCTCCCTTGTAAAATAAAGAGGAAAACACCATTCCAGGAAATAAAAATGTTTTAAAAAGACCAACCAAAGGCAACGCCTGCATGCGCTGTTGTTCTTTCCCTCTGAGTCAATAATAAAGAGGAAGGAAAGAAAAAACACAGTTAAATGCAAGGAGGAAATGTGGATGCAGCATGTTTATCTCACTTAAGGAGGGAAAACTGGGAAAACTGTAAAATGCCATCCATTGCATACGGACACCCCAACACTGCCTCAGTGTTTACAAACACTTCAAGCAAATCAAACAGGGAGTTTCATTGTCCCCACTGCGCTCATGTCACCCTCTCCCCAGCACTGCGATTCCAGGGAGAGCCCTGCCAGAGGACACACAGTGCCAGTTACACAAGAGAAGCGCAGAAGCAAATATGCAGTGGGGGGCGGGGGGGGAAATTAAAAATATCAGCTCAGCTGCACACTCTCTTCCTACTCTCAGAACTGCCTCCAAGTGGGCTTTGGGGTGGATTAACTTTAAAGGGCACTGAGAAACGCTGACAGATTTGAGGTCAGCAGGACCCCTCTGTGTGCATACATTTCCCTGCCACCACTGCAAAATGGGATATCTGGGGTCCACCAGCAACTGCAGGAGTAATGTAGTAAGAAAAGGGGATAAAACCTTCTGATGTTACGTATTAACAAAAAAATATCCAGTATATTACTCTAATATCTTAGCAATGTTCAAGTAAAGATCTGAACTGCACCTCAGAAACAAAAAAGGGAAAAAACCAAAAAGGTACAGTAAAACAAAGCTCTGCTGGACCACAGACTTTTTACAAAGTTTAAAATACAGGCATTTCTTGTATATACGATAAAAGTGAAAAAGGTCAGAGTAGTAGTTTGGAAGTTGAAATATACCATGAGGCTGTCCAATCGACAGTTTTTAAGACACAAACTCATTATGTGACTTGGAAAAGAAAGCTGGACCAATTGCAAACAGCCAGGATTGAGAGCCAGTTGGATTCAAATCTCCCCCATTTCCCTGAAAGAGGGGAAGCATAGAGGTGTCAAAACACTAAAGCCACACGACAGCAGGGCCCCCAAAACCATCCTAAAATGCACCCCGTACTTATTTTATCCCCAGGAGCCCCGGGTTTCTCATACTTAGCAGGGCTTAGCGATAGCAATTCAAAATCCATCTTATTTTCCGCTGTTATCCAGTGCAGGAGACAAATAAGACAGGGCTCCCCGACGGTGCCCCCGGATCGGGACCGCGCAGCTTCGGGGTGCCCGGAGCATTCAGGAGTTGCGGGAGTTTCCCGGGGGCTGCCACCGGGCCCGAAAGGCGGCGAGGGGCACTCATCTCCCATGGATGACCCTATTTAGGGGGCTAGTGGTCTTTCCCCTTCCTTCTCCCCCGTTCCTCCTTTACCAGCAGAGCCAGGGACAGACAGCGCAGCCCCGCTCGGCAGCGCTGCTCCCCGCTGGGGAACACACAGTGCGAGGAAGCGCATAGGGAGACAGGGGCCTGGCGGGGAGGGGGCAAAAGGAGAAGGAAAAACACACACAAAAAAGAGAAGAGGAGCGCAGAACTAACCTGGTTTGGGATTTTTCCTCCCTATCCACAAACATGAAACGAGGTGGGAGCCAGGAGCCGGTCACCGGCGACGGGAGAAGCGGCAGCCCGGGGCCGCCCCGCGGCGGGGATAGCGGGGCTGGGCGCGCTGCAGTCCCCGCACTCCCGTGGTAGGTGCTGACCCCGGGGATGGGCGCACGGCAGCCTGCTCCCTCTGGGATAGGTGCTAGCCACCCACCCGGCGCAGGACAGCTCTCCGGGATGGGCGCAGCGGGCTTAGGCGCAAGGCAGTCCCCCTCGGGAATGGGTGCTCACTCCCCGAGCAGCGCAGCCCCTCGGGATGGTGCCGAGCCACCCTCGGGCCAGGATCCCCGGGATAGGAGCAGCGGGGCTCGGCTCAAATCAGCCCTCTCCGGGGATAAGGGCAGGGCCGCCCACGGTGCTGTGCAGGGCAGCCCCCCCCGGGCGGTGCAAGAGCAGGGCAGCGCGCCCCGGGCAGTGCAGGAGTAAGAGCAGGGCGGCTCCGGTCGGGAATGTAGCGGGAGCAGATCCTCCCCGCCGTGTCCAGCGGAGGCGGCACCAGCAGAGCACAATGAGCGGCGGCGCGCGGCGCGCCCCCGCGGCCCCGCTGGGCAATGACATCACCCCAGAGCCCGCCGGGGCGGGGCCACCGGCCGCCATGCCGCCTAGCCATTGGCTGGCGCCCTCGGGGCGCGGGGGCTTCTGGGGCCTGTAGTTTATATGGAGGATCCATAGCACGGTTGCATACAGGGCGAGGACTCGATTTCCCGACAGGCCCCGCGCCGCGCGGCCGCGGTGGGGAGCGGGAGGGGTGGGGAAGGAGGATGTGGCGGCCGCCATGTTGGTGGCGTGGGACGCTTTTGGCTCGGGAGGAGCGGCCGGGGAGCCGGGTTAAGATGTCGGAAAAGGGCGGAGGGTGGGAGCTAGGTCTTGGTTTGAGGGGTAAGCAAGAGTTTGTGTGCGAGGGGGTGAGGAAGAAGGGGAGGCTGAGGTTGAGGCTGAGGAGTGGCTGGAGGGGCGCGGTGGTGGGCCCTGAAGGACATGGCTGGGTGTCTCTCCGTGCCCGCCGGTTCTGGGTAGGGCAGCGCCTCTCTCCATGGCGGGAGAGGGGCGGGGTTAGGGGGTCTGTCCCGGGACTCGGCGAGGCCCGTACGCCCCGGTGGCGGGCCCTGTGCCGGGCGGGCTGCGGTGGGTGTGCGGCGGGAGCGGGGGGGGGTCGCGGTGAGGCTCTGCGGGTCACGGCCGGGGGCGGTGCTGGGCGGGCAGGGGGAGGTTGCTCTGTGTGGCGCAGGAGCCGGGGCGGCTCCGGTGGTTCTCGGGGCTGTGCCTCTTGAGCTGTCCGGGGAGAGGGGTCCGTGCGGGGCTGTAGCAGCCGCGGCACTTGGCTGTGGGATCAAGTACGGGCTGGGGATTAAAGAGTAGCGCTGGCCTTGGTGGGAGAGGCCGTCAAAAGGGAGCAGGCTGGCTCATGCCCTTGTCGCATACCAGGTGACAGGCTACGTTGGCTGTTTTGAGGCTTTTTTTCAGGGTTGTAGCTTCTGTCTGATAATTGCACTAGTGGTGTTTGGTTGTCATAGACATAGGGCTTAGCGTGACCAGCAGGAGGAGCTTTATTTCCTCCTAGAGGCAGCTGCTCTCCGTATGTCTGGAAAAGGGTAGGATTAGATTAGATATAAGGAAGACATTTTATTTCAAGGATGGTGATGCATAGAAACAGGCTGCCTGGAGAAGTTGTGGCTGCCTCATCCCAAAGCCAGGCTGGATGGGCTCTGAGCAACCTGTTCTAGTGGAAGGTGTTGCTGCCCACGGCAGGGGGGTTGCAACTAGGTGGTCTTTAAGGTCCCTTCCAATCCAAACCTATGACTCTGTGTCCATAGAGTCATATATCAGCATTGAAAAAGCTGAGAGAATGGTTGAGATGATGTAAAGCATCTCAGCAGTTCACCGAACTTGCTTGCCCATTATCTTAGGTGTGCTTGCTGTCTGGTGTTGGTGTGGCTTAGCCAGATGACTGGGTGCTGTCTTAGTTTCAGCATACCTCTGGCTGGCATCTAGGAGGTAGGCTAGAATTTTGACCATCAGGTTTTAGACTTTATTGTACTGAATGTCGTCCCTGCTTTTGCTAGGCTTTTGTGTTGGGGATTGGGAAATGATCTGCTCACCAAAAGAGAGAGTAATCAAAGCTCCCTTAGGCTTAAGGGGACTGAAGTTCCCTGAAACAATGTATAGAAGACTTTTAATGTAAACTCAAAGGGAGGATGCTCAAGGTATTGCATGGCTTGTGAAATAATACCCTTTCGAGCTACAAGTGATTCTTGTGAAATAAAGCACTTTATTATCTCAAGAAGGTACTCAACTGAAAGGAGTTGTGAAGAGTTTTACAGGCTTGCTTGATGTGTTAGCTAAAGTCCAGTAGTGGTACAGCTCAGGACAAATGGGGCTGTGGGGTTTATTTCGTACTTTGGCTCCTCTTGGAGGTAAGTAGGATGTATTTGCTCAGGATATTGTCTCACAATAACTACATAGATAGTGTGTTTGCCCCAGGAGACACTCGAGGGGGGGAGGGAGGATGTCATGAGATGTTCTGTGATGCATTTGCTTCACCTGAACATTGCAGCCTTTCAAAATCTGCTGGTATTACAGCAATGTATGCCATTCTTCTGTGGCTTTATATGCAGCTCTCTTCAGCTAAAGAATCAGAACCAGTTGCTTGCCATCCTGTAAAAAGTCTAGTGTCGTGTAAGTGCTTCTCCTCATGTCCAGGTTGTCCCATTTTGCCATATTCATGAGTAAAGAAAAAGAGAGGGTGGAATACTCTCTTGCTGCTGTACTTTTCATTAATAGTTCCATACATCTGAAAAATTCTGGATTACAAGTACAGCCCTTTTTATTTCTTTTGTACTTCTTTTTCTTCTCTTTGCAGATACCTTTAGATTAGGTGAACTGTGGGTGAAATAAAGGGACAGTGGCATGATGACTTCACAGTTACAACAGTGTTCCACAGTAGACTTTAGCCCTATGTTTTATCTGTGCAGCTGATTCCTGGTACTGATGGTAAGTATTGCAGTGGAATTCTAGGGTAGACTCGATTGTCTTTTCTATAACTGGCAGCAGAAGTGTATGTGAAATCTGCATCCAGGATGATCTGCTGGTCTAATGACAGTATGTTTTGTTACTTAAACTGGTTTAGAAACAATTGGTTTTACCTGCAGTGGTTTCCCTCTCTCCCTCCCCATCCCGCTGGAGTCAGTGCTGCTGCTCTGAGAAGGTTGCAGTGCACCTCGCTTTGCAGATAGTTTTTCTTCATTGTTTTTACCATTGTTTATACCTTATTTCTTTGTCTGTAGAAGCCCTGATGTCTCAGCAGAGAGTTGCTATAGCATATCAAAATGTAGGAAAAAGGAAATGACTTCAGAAACTACCCAAGTGAATGCCTGATACAAGAGACAAGTAAAACAGTTTTCTCTGTGTGTGTAGTTCACTTCAATCAGTTTGGGGGTGTCTGATACTTGTCAGTGTATGGATTTTACTCATCGATGACAACTTGTTAGAACTGTTAATGACAAAACCTGTTTTCTGTGTGTCAAACTCGGATAGTATGTCCACCTGAAAGCGCTAATGCACAAGTCTCTCCTGACTGAACAGATCTTAGTTGCAAGATCCACAAGAAGCTTACGGTCCTATTGCAGAAATAAGCATTTTCTTGGCGTTTCATATGATAATATGCAAGGTGGTGATAGAATTGAAAACCTGCCTTCAGCTTTTCTTAATCACAAAGGTATGCTCTACTTTAATGCTGTTAGTGGAAACTTACTCTGGTGTGTGTGTGGTCCTCAGCCTATGAAGCTGATGTGTTTGTCTGTACTTGAACTACTATGCTGACACTGCAAAAACTATGGATTATCTTTGCTACTGAAGTGATTTCTGTCACTGTGGACTCAGGTAAGCAACCACCCAGTTTCCTGAAGACTTGGAGAAAGAGTTGGAAGATCCTGCAGAAGATGTGAGGAAGATAAGGATAATAGGAATGTGTGATGACTTAAAGAAGAAATTGCGTAATCAAGTTTAATTTAAGTTCATATGTAGAAACCTGTCTTTGTGTCTCAGCTTTGATTCTGACAAGTTTCCTCTAAATGAAAACGTCGAGGATTTGGATGCTCTAAATTGAGCAGTCACTGGATACTGTACTAAGCCAGCTCTGCAGTCTGCATGAGATACACAGATTTTGAGATGAAGTGTACAAATAGATTATTACATAATTTTTAAGGTATCCGGTGTTATAATGCCACAGTGTCAGCATCCATGGCAGCACAGCACAGAGAACTGTCAGGGGTTGTCTTGGTTCTTGCAAACTCACTGTCAGGCCTAACATAATTCCTGGTATGCACATTAGCATTAGTGGAATATAGTTTGTAAGGATTATTGATACCTTACAAGAGTACCTCTATGCTACTCTTGGAATGTGAGTCGTGTTTTAAAATCCAATTTTCTTAACTATCCCAGCTGTAAAATTTGGTTGTCTACGGTCCCAACTGCTTATTTCAAAGCCTCTGGTGGAAGGGTGTTAACTCTTTGACATCAGAGTTACTGCTCAGATGATGGAGGATGAAGAAGCTGCAATAAAGTTTGGTTGGTTGGTTGGTTGGTTGCAATTGTCTCCCATGGAGCTGTTTCCCAAAAAGTTATGGAGCTGCAAAGAGAAAGGTGAGAGGGTGAATTTAGCTGGGTAGAATAGGTAAGTATTTCTATATCATGTTACTGTTTCCAAGTATATTAATCATAGCACATGAGAATACATTGTGTTGTCTTGGTTCTTTGACAGGGAAAGCTTGGAAAAACAGGAGAGAGTGGAAGACTTCTGTGCCTTTTTTAAATGTTTTCAATGAAATTGTGGGGAGGAAGCTGTTAAACCAGTATCTGGAAGAGCCTAGTATTCCTGCATAGCAAAAGGAGTCTGTAAAGCTGCTCTGGAAGTAATTCTAGTGACTAATTATGAAGTGTAACTTTTTTGTGTGTGTGTCTTTCAGCACAAGAAGAGTGCTCTAAGAGCAGTCAAGAACCTTTTCAGTTAGCATGAACATGTTCTTCAACCAAAACGTGGCAGCAGTTCAATAGCAGTTACACAACAGGAAAGGGTGTGCAGGCTACTGCAAGTCCCTGGGTTCATAAGATCTGGTATCTGAAAGAACTCACTAGAGAGAAGAATGTGGTTTTTTCCACAACTTCTGTCTTGAGTTGAAAAGAGAGCTAATACTGCAACAGGAAATTGATTTTATTGTAGTTACTGGAGATGGTCATCACAATATGCAGGACTTCAAAGTGTTAGGACACTGAAAAACTGCAGGTAGTTTGAGTACAAGAGACTCCAGGGCTCCAATTGTGGGAAGTTCCCTCTTCAGAAGGCACACTAACATTGGGGAAAACTTGCTAAACATAAGGAGACTCAAAATGTTCTGCAGCTGTCTCTTAGCTACACATGGATATATCTCTTAAGGTGGGATGGTGTGATATGACCTCTGAAGACCATAGGGCTGTAAGCAGACCACATTTCTCTTACGAGCATGTGTGCCACTAACCAGTTCAGAAGCACCCCAAAAGCTTCAGGTTTTGTCACATAATAGTATTTCCTGGAACAATAGCTTTTCTTGGTCCACCTCACTCCTGCAAAGCCAGCTGGCTCATGGCAGCACTGCTGTGAAGATACGCCTTCCACACCCACGAGTTGCTGAAGACTTGCACAGAAAATTACTCAGACAGGCTCCAGAGCTGAGCATAAATCTTTTGGCTCACACTGTTGTAGCTTTAAGATACACGAGTGCTTCCATGTGGAACAAGAAACACTCAGGCTGCGTGTTTAGATGTACTTTGTGTTTGCACTGCCCTCTGCAGCACAAAGCTTGATCAAGCCCTGTATTGCATAAAGCAGGTGGAGGTATCATGCTGAGATTGTGCTTGGGTGGACCTCACTCAGTTGCCACTGATCATGGAAAGATCTGTTTTTGTTGTGTAGGGGTAAACCTGAGTTGGTAACTGATACTGCTCAGCTGATGTGTGTGTCTGTGGCAGGCGAGCAGTCCATGAGCTGACAAATCTTTGACCATGGTACTAGCTCAATACTTCCAAAATAATAAAAAGGGGGGGCGAGGGGCAGCAGAGGATTTTTTTAAGGGTCACATAAGTTCTACTGAAATTAAAAGCTCACTAAAAATAACTTTGTGGAAAGAATACATTTTAGGAAATGATGATGCCTGTGACGAGAGCAATATGAGCCTTTAGTTATGGCAAGCCTCCAATGCTGTTCCTTGTCCCTGTTTTTGTGAGGTGTGGGTGAAAAGTGAACACAGGGAGAGTGAAAGCCATAACCGGAGGTTAAAATTTAATTTTAGCAACCATAGTTTCAAGTCAAATGATGCACCATTATTTATTTTCTTAGGAAATCCTGCAACTAAATTGATAGGCTGGAGTCTCTCATTATGCATGCAAGTGTTCTCAGGTTCTCCAGCTCTTTGGGTGCAGTGGTGCAAAATTTTGTGTTGCTTCCTGTATGATTCAGCTTAAAATACTAGCTTGGGCAGGTGAGTACTTAAACAACAGTATTGCAGTCAGAGCACTCCTTAGTGCACACAAACCATTTCCTTTGGGTAAGTAATGCTGCACTGTGAAAAGCACACAACTTCTGGGACAGCAGCATTTGATAGTGTCTATACCAGAATTCCCTGGGTTTCCTCTTTTCCTTGGTCTCTTCACCCAGACTTTTAGCTTTTCTGTACATTATCACCACCTGACTCTTTTCTACCACCTCATTATTTTTGGTGGGGTTTTTTGCTATTTCTTTTCCAAGTGCCTCTTCCTGAAAAACTGGCTACCACAGTGAGTATCACAGTTTCTGGGCAAGTTTCCGCTCACATGGTTTCACTTGCTCTGTTTTGTTATTTACATACAAAGTCCTAAGGATATAATTTAGTGGACTGCTAGTGAGTAGCTAACGTTCATGTCTTGACTGCAGTCTGCATAGGTCAGGTTTGCACAAGCCTCCTGCTTCATGAATTCACTTCTGTAAGCAGGACTAGTGATAGCTCAGTGTAGTTGAGATGAATCCCAGCGTGAACAGAGAGCTGGAGTAAGATGTGGAACAGTTTTAAGTTTGGGGTTTTTTTCCTTACCAAGACTACCAATATATTTTCCTCTTATGGAAATAATTCTTACATTTGGGGAGTTGTATGTTACCCCTGCACACATAGCCAAATATAATTTTATATTTAATGGCAGAGTAGGTCTGCAAAAGAGAGAATTAGGTATTAAAATGTTCCACGTATAATAGATGAAAAGCTAATCTGAGTTTCCTCCTACTACCAATGAAATTGGCTGCTCTGCCATAAACTCTTGCTATGCTAATATGATTTACTGCTCCACTGTGATAATGGTGAATGTTGCTCTCTGGTGAGGACAATGTGGTGGCAGCTGTTTCAGAGTGATGAGCAGCGGCTTTGCTGAACATGCTCTGCTTTAGCGGATGTCAGCTAAAACAGTAGTTGCACCCCCCAAGAGTTAGATTGTTGCTGTTGTTAACCTTTGTAGAGAAACATGCAAAGTATAGGCAGGTGCAATCCTCGGGTGAATTGGCAAGAGGGTGTTGCACAGCTAAGTGGGTACTGTGTCTCACCACGGAGGAATGGCAGGGATGAGCTTTACTAGTTCATATCACTGAGGTCCATTTGGCCTCTTTCAAATTCCTGCCCACTGAAAGCTCCTCTGACCTCCAGGGTAGATTGTGACTGGAGCAACTGCTGTCCCAGTGCTGCGTCCTGGAAAAAAGGAGGTGGTGAAATGGAGTTTTAGTAGGCCCAGTGAAAATAAATGGATTTTCTTTTCATTATAAATAATACATTTATACAGTAATTTATAAGTATTTTTGTAGTGTAAATACATTTATAAATACATATCTGGAAATATGTGGATATATGATATAAAAGATATATTTAAATACATTTGTATGCATTATTGTATAATAATTCATAATTTAACACTTCATAAAATATAAATGAGTCAGTTGGGAGAATCATGGAAAAGTAGAGTAGTTTTGTCTTGCTGACAGACTCCTGGGATAGAGAAGCTGTTCCCTCTTGAGCACAAATCAAACGTGAATGTCTGGTCCCCAACAAATACAGTTTGTGTTAATTATTTTATTAAAATGTCCAATCACATCTGTCTTTTAAGCTCTCATCCTTGAGAAGGTTGTTTGGTTGTGGATTAACCTTGTCATGAGTATTGAGGCATGTGACATGCTCGGCTATGGAACCAGGTATGTGTGGGGTCTCTCACAAGTTTCTGTCAACACTTGAGTGTTGTGGCTCTCTGGGATGGATAACATTGCTGCCATTCATTCTGAGTGGTGTTGCAGCTTCATTTGCACGGGTTTGATGGTATCTCGGGTATCCCAGCCCTTTGCTACAGGCAGTTCTCCATTATCTGAAGGTAAGTTTAGGTACAAATCACATCAGCCAAGATGCTGGGTTTGGAAGATACTAGGTTTGGAAGATGCCTGCTTCATTCTGTGGTATGAGTACCACTCTTGGGTACTGTTGATGTACCAATCTTATTCCTCCCAAAGGAAATGTGCTCCCTGAGCTTTCCCTCTGCTATGGTAGTGCTTTATGTGTGCAGTCTCCAGGTAACGTTCACCTCTGTGCAATGCAAAGGGATGGCTACTCCAGTCTTACCTGAATTTACTACTCTGCAGTCAGTCACATAGCAGGAAAAGCATCCACCATTGACAAATGGCATTTGGTTTTTGTCATCATTTTGTTTCTATCTAGGTGTGTGCCAACATGCAGGTTTTCCATGCTTCCATTTTTTTTTCTTTTTCTATCTCCTTGTCACCCACACATAGTACATCACACTCAGTATTCAGTGTGTAAGAAGCCCTAGGATAATTATAATTTGTTAACTGTGTGAAGGTGGTAGTTCTGATGGCTGCAGAATTCCAGCTATTGCATCCCATCATTATTAAGAAGAAAAAAGAAAGCTTGGAGGAAAGAGCCTTGCTTTCCTTCCTGAATCTTTGGGCGGTGTGGGGAGGGAGAGGGGACAGATTAATAACACTTTAAAAGTAGACAAAAAGTGCTTTTCCTGTGCTGAGTTTCATATTTTTAACCTTTGCATTTTAAAATTTCAAAGTAGCACTTTCCGTTTGCTAAACTGATGACACCTGAGGAAAAACAGATCTTTACAGCCAATTGCCTCAAATACTGCAAAGACACAAGTGACATTTTGCACATGCCCTGTAAGTGCAGACCCAGTGTATTGCTGGGAACCAACCTGTCACAGCTAAAATACAATAATGCAAAAAGTCGTCAGCAGGCTGAGCAAACCCAGCCCTTCTTACGTGTTGCTTCTACAGTGTTCTGTCTAAAAACTATTATCCCTTGGAAAACTAGCTGACACACATTAATGAGGAGAATCAAAGTGCCTCTGTAGGGTTCTCCTAATTTTAATACATTCATAATCATAGAAAGATTATATTGGAAGCCATCTGTAGATAAATGTAACTTCCTGAGACAGCTTAAACTACTGAGCCATTTTCATATAGCCCATTTGTGACATTATCAGATATGTTCACATTTCTGAGGCCAAAATAAAAGGTGGCTTTGTGTTAATTATTTAGAAGACACTAAAAATCATAAAAGGAGCCCTGATTTTAGATAAAGTGAGTGCATGCAGGTGGTTACACAAGACAGTATTCAGGCAGGGTTTGTGGTTTCTTAGCTCACCAGTTTTATCTACAGAGCAGCAAAGAGAACGTGGACTGTGTTAGCAATCTTCTCCCCTGTTGCAGACACTTGTAGGCCATGGCTGTAAGCTGGAACCTGGGCTGGATGCAGCTGTGAGAGGACTGAGGGAATGGCAGAACCTATAACACTAATGGGCACAGAGAGGGTGTCCCTTGGCCTTCTATCTCCCCAGCTCCCCACCAGTCGGGTCACACCTCTGAAGTCTTCAGTGTAGCCAAATACTATGTGGTGCTGCAAAATGCACGTCAGAGATGTGGATCTCTGCTGGTTGTGACACTGGAGAGGCAGCTGTAGCTGCTGGCCCACTGTACTGCCAGCAGAGGGTGGTTTTAAGACTGTTTATGTATTGCTTTAATGTTTAAACACTGTATGGGCTGAATATTGAGCATGATGACCTTACTGCTTCCTTTGTTTCTTAATACTTCATCTTTAGTAATTGTAAGAAGAATCTAGAAAAGATTTTTCTAATTTTTTATGTTGTTTTGTTGTTTTTTTTTTCCTCTGACATCATTCTTCCAGGTAAGAATAACCAAAAATAACTAAATTTAGGAAGACAGGTTTGAAATAATGTTGGTGATGATTTAGAACTACTTTAGCCTAGGACCAAAGTACTTGAAATAAATAATTGAATAAGTTGTTGGTATTCTAGCATTTATTAGGGATTGAAACATAAGCGACTAACAGTGAATGGAAGTCATCTCACTGAACTTCAGACACCCAGCAGGTGCCTGGTCTCAGTGTGGGCTTTCCTTGCACTCTGCAGAGAGGACTGCACACATATCAAGGTTGATTTCAACACCTCATATGCTAATTCAAGAGTCTTAAGTTTACAGAACACAAGCTAGCAGAAGCCTGATCCCAAACAGCATTTGTGCCTGTATTATTATCATGTGGAATCACACTATGCGCGACAGTTAATGACTAGATAGTTAATTATGGGAGTGACTTATATAGGAATGGGCTCAATTCTTGTGCCTGTGTTGCAGGAAGGCAAATTTGTCTCTTGAGATGTCTTTTCCTTTCTGTTGACTACAGAGGGAGCAGAGGTTAGAATAGCTCAACATTAGACATCTGACCTACACATCTAGCTGAGGTGCATCTCACCCGCTGTGCCAGCAGGCTGCTGCTACTACCATTGGGTAATACTCTGCCTCGTCTTTGAAGGTCTGTACATACTTAATAGATTTTATGGATCTGATTTCACATCCAAGGGAATAAAGTGTGACAGTTAAAGCCATGTAAGTAGTAGATAGTCATTAACTTTTCTGAAATCAGCAGAATTCCCCATGGGACCAATTGCACATGTATAAGTAGTTCAGACTGTCGTTGACTGGAGACCTGTTGGGAAGCTGTACATAATAAAAGGTAGTAGTAAGTGATGATGGAAAATGCATCATGTTCTAATATATAGTGATTTATGTTCTGAATTAGATGTTCTGTTGAGAATTTTCCTACACATTTTTAAGTAGTTTTAAAAGGTTTGAAAAAAATTCAGCGATTTCTGTCCTTGATTTCCATTTATTTACCACTTGGAAACTATTTTCAAAATGGAATTCCTATCTAAAGGTCTTTAATTAAAAAAAAAAAATCTGAGTACCAGCAATCTTTTGAACTATTTTGAACTATTGCAGAAGTATAGCACAGATGAGGCCTTAGTATTTCCTAGAGTAGGTAAAATTCCTGTCTGTTTGCAGAAATAGAGCAACCTAGTGACCAACTCAAGCAAAAGATCAAAGAGGCATCTTCCCAGTGGCTACAAACTGCAGATAACATCTTGTTTTCCCTTCCACAAAACACAGGCAATACCAAACATGACTAGGATTCACATCTTCCTCATCTGCAGGGATTAAGCTTTATGAACCTGTTTCCAAAGCCACATGCAAGAAGTGTGTTTGAGGTATTTAAAGACAGAGAAATGCCTCAACAATTATTAAGGGATTAGAGGAAAAGGTTCAGGAGGATAAGAGAAGGTTATTGCAAACACAAGGGCTTATGCATGGCACCATCATACTCTGTGGCTCTTCCAGAACTTTCCAGTCTACAACAGACTGTAGAGAGCCTTTTGCAGGATTTAATGTGCCCAGTACTTGTGCTCTGCTTAAGGTTAATAACATGGAAAATCTTGTGATTCCTTGCTGTAACAACCTGTTTGTATACAGATAGGCTTTCAACTTATGGAAATGACCCATGGTTTATGAAATAGCCTCTTCCTGTTTGCAATGATGCAGTGCAATATTGAGTCATCTCTAACCTTTTACCCTTCCCTGTACAAGCTCTTTGTTGTTTGCAACCTGGCCCTTGAGATTTGGATTGATGATAGCAAACAGCAGTTTTTACTTGAACTAGTCCCAGTTTTACCAGCTTTGGATGAATTATTGCACTTTCCTAGGAAAAAGGTTTGATCCACATTACCGCTGATTTGAATTATAACAAATTGCTAAAAAATTACCTGTGTGTAGTTTGGGTTGAAATAATGAATTCTTGATTTTAGGGATTATTTGCATTTCCTATATGCACCTAACTCTCCTTCCATAGAGTAATGAGTCCAGGGGCCAAGAAGTTCTGGATGCAGATAGAAAGTACATACTGCAGTGTTCCACCAGATTATATTTCCCTGTCTTTTGGAGAGAGCCCCTAATGCCAGTGAAATCTCAGCAATATGACACCACTGGTAGAGTGAAAACATAAGATTTTTCATCAGGTTTTCACAGTTGGGTATTTTATCCTTTTTCTACAGCATATAGTAGGGGCTTAGGTAAAGCAGGCTGGATGGTCCTAATTCACAGGAGGTTAATTTAGTTTGACTCTGAAAACATAATATCTTGGCTGAAGAGCTGCATTTCTAGTGGCTGTGCAGTGTGCTGGGTGTCCTGCCAAATAGCTGGGGACTGCAGCACTATGTTGTTAATTCCTTTCTGCCAGTGAGACATTCCTGTTCATCTCTTGGACAGTGTCATAAGTTACCTATTGGTCTTACCTGTCCCTGGACACAGCTGATACGGTGTGAACTCAGGCATAGTGTGTATGTGAGTAGCCATTGTGCCTTCCTAGAACCAACTCAATTTGGCTATTATCCTATAAAGAAAGAGAAAAGAACATTGAACAAGCCAAATTACATTGGTGGGGTAAAAGATTTGAAATGCAATGACTTTAGATATTGACAACTGACAGTTGCTTCATCAAGGCACAGAATTTTTCACAGTATTTGACAAGGAAAATACAGATGCAACATGATGAATTTTCTTGTGGAACATTTTAATGGATATGCTCAGGTTTCCCAGTGGGATCTTACTTTCTTAGAGCAGAGATTAGTCACCAGTTACTTGATTTGTCTGAACTTTCTGCCAAAATCAACAAGGAAGGAATTGACAGGACGGACTTTAGAAACAAGGACATTGTGACATGTTTGAAGAGAACGCATGCTCAGAGGAGGGTCCACTTCTGTTTCAAAAAGCAGCTTCTTATCAGCAAAACAAGCTCTACTCTTTCCTGTATGTGTCTTGTCTCTGCCTTGCAGCAATGCTGAGAAGATGTTTCATCTTGTGGGAAGCCAAGGGAAAGCGATTTACTAAAGGCAGAACAACTTTGCACATGCTATTGCAACTCCAGTCATTCTATTGAATTCAGCTAAGACAAGCACTAAAACCAGCTGTGCTGTAAGGATTTGAAGTCTTTGCAGTTACTACAGGGTCTGTTCTTCTACTGAATCAACACATCCTGCAGCTTCTATGACAAAGGGAAGAAGTACATTCTGTCATCATGGCTAGGCTTTGGGAACGAAGATTTGGGAAGGGCTCTACCCATGTTTGTTGCAAGCGCGTTGGTGGCTAAAAAGGCCAATATGAAACTTTTGCCAGTTGCAAAAGGCACAGCAGAAAGACTCCTTAGGTGGTATATTCCACAAGGCACGATTCTTTCTGCATTGTCTTTTCTCTTCAAGGGTGATCCTGTTTGCTTTCTCAAAGGCATCAGCAGCGTTATAGATGGTGTCTCCAGGCCTCCCGATTGGAGGCCAGAGTAGTCCAGTTATGTGGATCAATATGGCCAAGGCTGAGATGTTGTTTCAGGGAGTCCTTGTATCTTTTCTTCGGGGCTCCTCTCTTGCGGCAGCTGGTGGCAAGTTCACCATAAAGCAAGATCTTAGGGAGGCAGTGGTCCTTCATCCTTGAGACGTGTCCTGCCCAGCACAGCTGTGTTCTCAGCAACATGGCCTCAATACTTGTGACTGCTGCTTGTTCTAGAACCGACGTATTGGTCACATAATCTGACCAGTGGATGTTTAGGATTGTACGGAGGCAGCATTGATGGAAGCGTTCTAGGAGACACAGATGGTGTCAGTAGATGACCCATGATTCAGATCCATATAAGAGAGTAGACAGCACTATGGCTCTATAAACACTGATCTTTGTACTTTTCTTCAGGTGTTTATTTCACCAAACTCTTTATGAAGCTTTCCGAAGGCACTATGTGCCTTTGCTAACCTGTTGTCTATCTCTCCGTCAATCTTACCATCCGAAGAGATGAGGCTACCTAGGTAATTAAACTGCTGTACAGCACAGGAAAATACTACCCTGCTCTGTGGTCATGGGGAAAGACATGTCAGTCTCCCAAGGCAAGTCAATAGAGCAAAACTTAAGTCATTGAAAAATGCCATTTTTTAATACACAAAAATCAAACTTTGCAACAGAGATGTGAGGCAGTGCACAGAGCAGTTGTATCTTTCAGAAATCTAACTGAACACAAATAGCCAGGAGTCCATGTACTAACTTAAAGCAGCAATTATACCACTTCTCTCTCCGTTCTTCTCCTCGCTCTTCCCTGAAACGCTACAACCAAAACTGACAGCACACCACATCTTCCCAAGCCTCAGTATTTACTCACACATAGAGGAGAACATGGGAGGCTTTTTAAAATCCCCCTGACAACTGGTACAAGAAAACTGTTAACTATTAGTGGAATGTCCTCTCATAAAATGCCAAACAGTCTTGTGTTTTTCAGGTCAAAAGCTAACAAGATGAACTGTGAGCTCTTATTACTTTTCTGTTCATCCACAGTAAAAGTATAGAGTGCTTTAAAAATGTTGAGAACATGACAGTGATTGACAAGAAAAGAAGGCATGTAAGGAGATACTGTGCTGAAGAAATTTTAATTATTTTAATTATTTTTGTAAAGCAAAATTCATACTGATAGAGGTTCTTGCATTTGCAGTGTCAGCCAGGAGCCAGGGCTGTTTTCTCAACCAAGACCCTTATACACTCTGCCTTGCACCCTTATGAAAGAACACCTAATTTGGTAAAATCCCAGAGTGACTTTAAGGAGAAAAAGCCTAACAAATTAAACAGCTGCTTGAACCACTTATGTTTTAACTTTTTCTCAGTGAAAGCATGTCTTAATTTTAGTGCGTCCAGTGCATGTGTGAAGCTGTTTCCATCATTTTTATTATTGGAGTTCATATGAGTTTTATAACAGCTGGTAGCTGATATCTCATCTGACATAAAGTAACAATGACACACAGAGAGCGGTAGTTGTAATCACATTAAGTGTGTCAATAAGAAATTAGCAAAATTTTAACTGACAGCATGAGTGAAAGTTGATCTAGACCTTGGATAGCGGGTTATGGTCTGATACTAAGGGCCCTAGTATGGATTTATTGTATCATTAAGCCATGGTCAGAGAGGAGGAGAGTGAACTGTCTTTTACAGTTTTTAAAAACGAAAGCACTCTGCCACTGCTACATTCCTCAGTGAAAGAGCCAGTGCTATTTGAAAATTACTGTTGGAGATGATTCAACCATCATCTGTCTACATGTTAAATCTTCAGAATACTCTGTGTAACTGCATAGAGATGGCAAAGAGCAACATAAAACATGTACTAACATGGAGATTTAAAGATATCACACAAGGATTTGTTTAACTGCATTTGTTGAACTGAGCGTGGGTACAGTTCTTGTCTGCTTGGATCATTTAACTGGCCAAAGACCAAAATATACACTTAATATTCCACAGCCACCTATGCCCAGTAATGACAGAGTCCTCCAGTGACATGTTAACTGTGTCAATGAAACATTAGCTAAATAGTAGCTGGGTTTTTCAGGTTATAAGAAAACTAGGCCTTCATTTCATTCCAAGATAAGCTTAAAAAAAATTACTTTTTTCATTATGTGATCTGGTTATCTGCTGTGGTAACTGTGTGACCAGATAATCTGAATCTGCTAATTTATTGATTTAACTGAAAATGGAGCCTAAATCATATAAAATATAGATCATTGCTTTGTTTTTAATCAGTCTGGTGAAATTTTAAGTAAATTAGGCAAATGTGCTTTGTGAGATTCATGCGTTTGCATTCACCCTTCTTATGCAACCCACACATGGGACACAAGATATATTTACTTCATCAGACCACAGCCTGGGTCACAGTCTGTGAGGGCATACAGCTCTGGGGTGAAATCACCAGCCTCTTGCATCTATCTCCAAAGTGACTGCCTACACCCCGTACATTACACAGGCTCTAGCATCCCCAATAAAGTGACCACAATAGATACTTATCTTCCAATACTGAGAATGTAGCTGTTTATAGATTACAAATATGCTTATGTGCTATGGATTTGCTAGCATGCCTTCATTTACCTGCATAAGTCAACACAAGACATAAAATTGCCAAACATATTCACCTCTAATGAACATCTACCTAGATACACAGCAGGTTTGAAACAGGACAAAGGAAGCAATTACAGAGCATCCAACCAACTGCTGCAGGGCAAAGCAGCTGCAGCCACAGGGCCTCCTGCAACTTGCAGGGGTAGTACCTGCTCTCTTCATGTTTACTATCTATTCTGTCCCCTGGAACATGGTGTCGCGGTCCGATAGGGAGAGGGGACAGGACACGAGGACTGGTGCAAGCAGACTTGTTTATTCAGGCGTCTGTCTGATTCTTAAAACCTCCCGCCAGGGGAAGGGGCAGAACAAAGGGTGGGCTATCAGACAGACGAGCAGGGGAGCAAATCACAATAGGGTACAGGCAAAAGGGGGAGGAGGAAGCCTGGGCATATGCAGCTGTGCACTGTGTAGTATGGATACAATGAAACCACATAATAACAGTAAAGTCCATATGAAAGTCCTGTCGATTGCTGTATGCTTTTCTCCATGCCTGGAACTGTTCCCATCCTGAATCTTGCTTCTCTACAACATGGTTTACAATAAAACATACAGGGTGTTGTTTTTGTGCCAGGGAAGATGCTGCCTCTGTCTTGAAGATGCTGCAGCCATGGCTGGACCCTTGGAAAGGGTGCAACATACTTTTCTTTGGTGCAGTTAAGCCTCATGAGTTGGGTGAAACATCTTAAAGATAGGATGGGACAGAGAGAAGCATTTGAAAGAAAGAACCTTCCCTGCAAGGAGTTAATTTAGAAACTTTCTGTTCTGCCTAACTTGAAGTGTTCTCTATAGTTGGGGGGTTTTTGGTGTTTTTTGTTTAAGTATTCCTTTACATTTAACAAAATCTGATTCCTGAAGTTAAGAGCTCTGTGTTTTGCAACAATTGTTTCGAGGGAAAACTGGAAGTAAGTCCACCTCAAAGATCTGCTGACCCAGCTGTTAATATAATTATAAATGTTTATTACCTCTGAAATGAGGATGTGCCTGCCTTTAGGTGTCTTGCAGGATTATAATGTGAATTCCTTAGTTAATTGCTGAAGACGCTGCTGTTCCCCTGCCCTATGCTTAGTGCACTGATTTGCATGCTTACAAGACAAAAGCAAATTGCAGAACATAGAGATTTGAATGTAAACCCATTGCTAAACTTTGGCCTGGAAGCATCAAGTTGTTCTTCTGATCATTCACATTTACAGAAGGTGAGTACAGAGGTAAGGAGCAATAAAAGGGCAAGACAAAGGAGAAGGACTCTAAAGCACCTCAGCAGAGCTAACCTGTTGGGCTAATTAGTTACTGTGATTTTCACCCTTTTAAATGCTTGTATCTTTGCACAATTTGCAGCATGGAGCCTTTTCTAACAGATGCAGAGCTTCAACAGAGCATATTTGCTGCTTCTCTACCTGTTCATGAGCTAGTTGCATGCATTTCGCAGTGTTTCACATAATATGGGTGAAACAAACAGATACCTTTATACTTCCTTGTACCTGTGATGGAAGCAGTGAGGGGGGAAAGGCAAAAGAAGAAGCCAGAATTTCTGCTATCAGGAAGAAAATGCAGATAGAGAGAATCTAAAAAGATTTTATTTGAGCAACCTATTAATGTGCCTGCTTGCTTCTGAGTTCTGCTGCAGCTTACCAGCTCATCAATACATATATATTCTGCTTATCTACTGTATTTACTTGGTGACTGGATAATTTAAACCTGCAAATTTATTGACTTAACTTAAATTGCAGCCTAAATCATATAAAATACAAAGGAGATATATATATATATATATATATATATATTTGGATTATCATTGGTCAGTTTTATTATGGGGCTAGATTCTCTCTCCTTTCACAGCATTGAATTTCAAAGCATTAGACACAGAAATACATGACTTTTACTCTTTGTCTATGTTGAAAATTATGTCAAGATACCCAAACATGGTATTGTCATATATAAAGCCAGCTCAAAGCAAGAACTGGCTGTGACCAGGCCAGTAACATGTCCCAATTCTATCTCACTTGGCACATCTCCAAATGATTCTCACTGTATATCCCAATATACCAGAGAACAGTTTGTTAGTTCATTATGGATTGTTTATGATCGACAATATTTACTGCATGTACATTTTGAACTAACACAGTGCTGCAAGCAGACAGGGATATTAGGCAGCTATATGTTCCTATACTATGCAGATAAACTGTAGTTGGAGCTATTTTCCTACTAGCAACTCAGGCAAATGGATTGTAAAAGCACTTGGGTATTAGCCTAGGACTTTTATGATGGTTGTGGAAAAGAACATTCTGAATACTTCTGTAATCATTCCCATTTAGGTCAGCCAGTGAGTTGTTTTACAGTAGTGTCTATGGAGTCCTCAAAAAGATTGAACTTAGTTTGGCATTTACTGAGGGAAAGGCAAGGGCTTTAGCACCACCAGTATGGTCTTCTCAAACCATCGATGAAAGAAGTACTGATTCATGAGGACCTTGGGCAGGGTCTGCAGGGGTGCCATGGCTTTATGTGGCCCTTCCCACCCACCCTCAGCCACTTCCCACCTCCTCAAAACTTTTGCAGCACAGCCAAAAGAGCTTTCCTCTTCAGTATACTGAAGTAATTACTCTGCTATAACAAAAATAGGATTTTTTTTCCAGGAACTGTAGGTAAAAGCACATGTATGCAACTGTGAAGCCTTGGATATCCTCTGGAGATGGATGCAGGCAGGGCATTCCAGCTTGGAAGTCCCCAAGAGCAGCATAACAAGTGTATAACCATTATGTCCTTCTACTTATTCTGGCCTTGTATAAGATGAAGCTGTGTGTCATATACTTAATATTAAATGGACTGAAAAGGTCACTTGGTTTCTCTTTAATTCTTTTAATCTTCTTATAAGATACCAAATAGGCTTAAGTCAAAAACTGTTCCTTAATGTAAAGGGTTGAGGGGGGTTGTTGCTCACTTGGCGTTTTGTGAGGATGACAGCTGTCCCTTAGAAAGATTGGGTTTGCCAAGCACTGATACTACTCCCCTGATCAGGTTTATGCCTCCTTGCTCAATATCCATAAAGATTTCTAGGAGACAATAACAACCATAGCAGTAGGAAGAGTCAGAATGTACTTAAACCTCCCAGCCCACACACAGTAACAGGAAAATCCTGTTTGAAGAATCAGGGAATAGCCTATTCTGGATAACAAGGGGTAATGTGCTGCAGTCCCCCCACCCTCTGTGTGGTTACTCAAGCAGCAGAGTCCAGCCCACTGAGGTTTAACATTTTTTTATATTATTTCATATAGGACAGCTGTACAGGGTGGGATAAGGAGGCAAGGGTTTCTTGAAAGTGCTTCTGCAGTTGAGGTAGCAACAATGTTGTTTCATGAACATACAAACTCAGGTCACTGCAAGAATAATTTGTTTTCTGATCCATGCCTGGGTTTTCTTGTCCACGCTGAAACCTAGAGAAGGAAGAGATATGTTTGTAGGGAGATGCATAGCACTGCAACCCACCCAGCATGGGAGTGAGAAAAGAGAGGGTGTCTGTTTTGCCTGCTACTCAGGGTCCCATGAGTGTTAATGTTGCTGGAACCACAGCTGTGTTAAGGGAGAGTTAAAACACCATCCTGAGACCAGATTTGCTCTTCTCAAGAGAAATGCTGGAAACCTTTTGCAATACAATACAGACAGAAAGATTTTTCACCACAATACTAAGCTGTTGTTGGGCTAGTAGTGTAAGCTGAACCCCAAAATTTGACACTTTCAGGCAATGAGAGGAGATTTTTAGCCAAGAATCACAATATTTCTTCCCAGAAAAATGCCCCAAGGAGCAGTAACCAAATTCAATTCACAAGCTTCCTTCTAATCTAAACTAAGAGCTAGAAAGAAAGACACCTCTTACCTTATCTACTGACTTGGGGGAAAACTACTTTACACCTCACTGCCAAACCACGCATTTTCTGATGGATAGGGTTCTTCTGATGAAAAAGAATCTGAGCTTTGCTTTTAATTAAAAACAAACAAACAAAAAACCCAAACACAAACAAAAAACCCAAACACAAACAAAACAACCACAAACACAAACAAACAAACAAAAAAAGAAAAACCCAAAACAAATGTATATTTCTTAAAATATCTTGTATATTTTTTCCAATATTTAAATTTCTTTGTGATGTTTTTATTCCCCATGATAGGTAACAAAGACATTAGCAATTGGCAACATCAATTTATCTGAAAAAAATCTTATCAAACCAATAGAAATCATTGTACGGGTAAGCAGATTCTTGGAGAGGAAAAAAGCACTGAAAATGTCTACTTCAGTAGGGCTTTTGTCTCACATAACAGTCCCATAAGCCAAGCAGCTGCAACTTTTACAGGGGTGCAAAACTGGTTGTGTAACTCTCCTCAGAAAATATTTATCAGTGATTCAGTATCAGAACAGAGCGATGTGCACCTGCAGGCACCCATCTCAGGTCTGCTTCCATGAAGACATCAGGGAACTGCTCTTCTTCAGAGCTTGGTGTTTACATTCCCTTTTCCCCCCCCCCAATTGATTTTTACAGTGGTAGTGCAAAGATCAGATGCTTCTCTGTAAGTCAGGTCTGCATGCACTGTGAGCATGCAGTACTGCAGGCTATAAATTCATTATGTAAATCGATTCCAGCATTTCTAGTGGATTCATTTAAGGTGTGTTACTCTAATATCATCAGTAAGAAGTAGGATTTAAAGGGTTTGGTCTTTGTAACTAACAAAATAAAGGCCAGTCATCTTCAGTTCCTTCAATTTGGAGCAGATAAAAGGTTATTTGTAAGCATTTGGAAAACAACAAGGAAATGAGTAGCAGCTACCATGAATGCATCAGGTAGAAATTATATCTGGTAGAAATCGCAATCAAATTTCTTTCTATGATAGGCTAACAAGACTCATAAGCAAAAAGCTGTAGATATAATTAGATATGTGGACTAAAGTGTAATTTTTGTCTTGTGGTGCATTTTCATAAACAAACTAGCTAAAACCCTTACAGGGTCAGCGCAAATCTGGTTTCATATATTTTCACCACAGAAAGGTGGCTACATGTTTTTGTCCTAGTTTTTTTCAAAGTTTTTCTAACAATGCACATGGTGAAATAGAAAATACATGTGTGAAATTTGCTGATAGTGCAAAACTGGGAAGATTGCGGTTATAATGGAGGATGGGATTAAAATTCAAAATAAACTTGACAAGCAGAGCAACATTTTGAGGACTGAAATGCAATGGAGAGCAGCACAAAGTTGTGAATGATTGGGCACACAAATACCAGCTGAGAAAGAGCTGGTGAGCAGTTGGTTTTCCCAAAAGGATCAGAACACACCTTCCACCACCTGTCATGCTTTGCAACTGTTGCCTGTGGCAGAAATATCAGTTGCATGGATACGCCTGGATTAGGTCTTTACTCTGATATGGATCCATTTGCTGTCATTATTTGGAGCGGAAACCACAACCAGAAGTCTAGAGCTTTCCAGTTTCTTTATAGTTTATTCCACAGAACTGGCAGGCTAGAAGTATTTCTAAAAAGGGACCTAGGAAAAGTAGATACATTCTCCCACACCAACTTCAAAACATTTAGTAAGTGGATGCAATGCACAGGAGCATCAAAAACTCCAGAATGTCCTGCAGCCACAAACAGCTGTGATGAGAAAAGGAAAGGCAGGAGGGGCTGTTAATTCAGGTGGCAGCTCCCAGCACAATGATCTGGCATCTACAATCTCCAACACATGCAGGTGACCACTAAAGAAAGACACATGACATGTTGCTGCGGTTCAGCCCCAGAAGGCAACTAAGCCCCACGCAGCCACAGCCGCTCTCTTACGTTCCTACCCCAGTGGTAATCTGGAGGGTAAAAGTGAGAAAACTCGTGGGTTGGAATACAGACAGTTTAACAGGTAAAGTAAAAGCTGTGCATGCAACCAAATAGAAACAAGGAATTCATTTCCCAGTTCCCATGAGCAGGCAGGTGTTCAGCCATTCCCAGGAGAGCAGGGCTCTATCACGCGTAATGGCGACTTGGGAAGACAAATGCCGTCACTCCAAACATCCCCTCCTTCCTTCCTTCTTCTCCCAGCTCCATATGCTGAGCATGACACCATATGGTCTGGAATATCCCTTGGGACAGTTGGAGTCAGGTGTCCTGGCTGTGCCCCCTCCCTGTGCACCCCCAGCCCACTTGCTGGTGGGGTGAGGTGAGAAGCAGGAAAGGCCTTGACTCTGTAAGCACTACTCAGCAGTAAGGAAACAATGCCTGTGTTACCAGCACTGTTTCCAGTACAAATCCAAAACACAGTCCCATACCAGCCACTGTGAAGAAAATTAACTCTACCCCTGCCCAAACCAGCACACATGTAAGTGCTAAAGGACGTTTTATCAGGCCACACTGTAACAGAAAGAAAAGGTCAGTCCATGACTGAGGCTAGGCTAGCCGCAGTCACATTAAACACTAATACAACCTAAATATTATTTAATTGCATGGAAATTAGTCACAAAATTCTTGGGCAGTTCGCTTGCTAAAGGCGAATGAGACCTTGGCTCATCCAAACACTGCTGCAGACTCCCATCTTCCAATATTAATTGACATTTATCCCACACTTATTGACATCCATCCTATTTTTGTTGATATTCATCCTATATTCATTGAAAATAATTGTGAAAGGGGATGTTGTTGCAGAAGGAAGACTTGAACTCCCAGAACTGAACAGCAGAAGCATAGCTGAGAAGGAGACAGATTAAATACCGGATGGATGGATAGTTTGCATAGGTGGGAAAAGTCAAGAGTGAGAAGGGTGTACAACTTTCATGGAGGGAATCCTCTTGAATTTGTATGTAGAAGTATTATAGTAGTCACGTCAAGTTTTAATGAGCAGTTCCAGCACCCTGCATAAACAGAGCCTAAACGCTGTAGGTCCTTCACTGTTATGGTTACCCAGTGGCATCTGTGCCAATGGCTGTCCGTGGGTAGGGACAGCCAGACAAATCTGAAACACCAGGGAATCCTTTCCAGGTTAATTCTGTGGTGTTACGTGACTGTGTGCTTTATCAGTAAGAAAGCCAGCTGCCTCTTTGGCTGCTGTACTGCACTGAGGGATAACTGGGGGAGTGTGATGTGATGTGATAGGAGGAGGTTTAGTTAAATGAAGAGTCTTTTCCATTATCTCTCTGAAAAACAGTTGACAGTCTTGCTGGTGTTGCCCTTCTCAAAAAAAAAAAAAATAGGCTCTGAAGCAAAATGTTTCCAAAATATAATATACTTTCTAACATGCCTTTAACTCTCTAGATATTAGTTCTAACTAATCACAGCTGCTTTCCTTTGAGCTGCCAGCTTGCTTGTAGGGAAGGCACAGAGAGCTGGCCAGTAAAAATGTGAATTATTTATGTTCCTGCTGAAAGCATGAGTCTTGTCACTAGAGCCTTGCTTGATTGAATGGATCTGTAGAGACAGTTTCTGTAGCAACCCAGAACCTTGCCCAGCAAAATGTCATCCAGTCACAGTTAAAAGAGAATGGTAATAAATATCTGTCTGGGTATCTGAGAATGACACAGAAGTGCCAGAATAAAATATTATCTGGGTTTTGAATCCTCCAGTCTCCCAAGACCCACCAAGATGTCATTTCAGAAAGTGAGCTGGTAGCATGTCAACCCAGGTACCCATAACAATTTAGCTGTGACAACACGAGGTTTCAAAAGATTACACAAGTCTTCATGGGAACTCAGCAAGTCTTTAGAACCAGGACACTGCTGCAGTCAGGGTCTTACTGGTAACCCAGCTATTTAGAATCAATATAAATAAGGATGTGGTTCACAAAAGCTCACTGTCACATCTTTGGGTGCTATATCCACATACCCAATGCTAGG